ATATATAGACATATATATATATAGCTTTAAATATATACATATGTCTATATATACATATATATATTTAAAGCTAAGAAGGGTATATATACACACACATATATATATATATATATATTTAAAGCTAAGAAGGGTACTGTGTATATATACACATATATATATATTTAAAGCTAAGAAGGGTAATAAGCTTTAGAAGAAAGAGGTGGAATGTGTAAAAAGAAGGTAAGAAAATAAAATGGTAAACATGGTTTTGGAAAAGCTGAATAAGCATAAATCATAGCAAATTATTTAAGGAGATCAAAAGTAAGACAAAATAAGGGCCACCAGGGGGCATGGAGTTTAAGGTGACTGGTTCTTTCATGGCCGACCACGTGGTTCAAATCTCAGACCTGGTGGCTTGAAAACCATGCTAGGCATGTGCGCATGTGTGCCCAAAATCCCAAGAGGAGAATAAAGGAGAAGGGATTGTGCATGGTCATTCTTCCCCACCCCCTTAGGGAGGGGCTCTCATAGCAAAAGCTTTTAAAAAAAAAAAAAAAAGACAAAATTTCCAGGCCTTATCAAAGCTGCAGCTGCTTTTCTGTAGCCGCTGTGGTCAAAGAGGAGCTCAGAGTGACAGGTTTTCCTCACGGTCGCCTTTCGGTTTGCTGTAGCAGGTCTGCAACATTGCAGGGAAAGACAGCCTTGGGCACAGTTCCCAGGGCCAGCCAGAGAGGGCCAGCGCAGAGAGGGAGGGTGTCAAAACAGCATGCGGGACAGCATGGAGGGTTACTGGGGACCGGTGAGGTTGCTGCACTGGATCCAGCTGCACGTGGCCGAAGCGGGTGGCCTTCGGGACTCAGACCCACTGAGGGGAGTGAGAAGGTTGTTCAGGACAGCTCTGTTGTCTCAGCCGCTCAGGGGGACTAGCCAGGAGGGCGGCAGGCCACGTTTCCAGAGGTAGGACCAGGGAATGCAGTATTGGGCAGCAGCAGCCAGGGCACTCCCGGCAGGGCTGGTGCAGAGCCATCCCGGACCACTCTGCTCTGGGAGTGCTGGAGTCCGAGGCCTGTGTTCCTGTGTGTGAGCCAGGTCTGCAGAGCAAGAGACACATGGGAGGAGGCAGCAGAAGGGAAAACAGAATTTCTGGTGGAAAGAGCTAATGTTATATCTTTGGGTGTCCAATAAAAGACTGGAGGTGTCACAAAAAAAAAAAAAAAAAAAGACGAAATAAAAGTACCAGAGGACTGTTGCACAGTGGTAAAGCTTCATGTTCTAGGCAGGCCAACATGGGGAGGTCACCAGTTCATGCCCAGGGACCTCCCTGAGAATGTTGGTCACGTGCATGCCCACCATCGGGGCTGGCAGAGGCTGAGGGATTTGGACAGCGGCATCAGGGCAATGACGGGGTGCTGTCTCTGTGTATGTCTCTATGTCTCTTTCTGTCTCTCACTCATGGGATAAGTAAAAATAATAATAATTTTTTAAAATTATTTTAAAATTCCAGACAGGAAAAAAAAAAGACCAGAGAATGTGGTTGGAGTGAAAGCATTCTAAAATCCTCATAGTTTCTAGAGGATATTGATAGTCCTATGTTTGAAATATTTTTACGATCAAAAGGCAGAATGGCATGTAGACCAATGGATGCTATTTTAATACACAGTATCATATACCTAGCATCTGCTCTGTGTCTGGAAGCCTACTGACATCACAATCCCTATTTTCATTCTGAGGAAGTGGAATTGTCCTCTTTTTATAGTAAGAAGCAGAAAGCAAACAGAAATGAGTGAGTCAGAGTAGTAAGTGGCAAGGGCAGGATTTGAACCCAGGTCTCTCTGTCTACTCAGACAATGTGTTTTAACCCCACTAGACCCTCCTGGGTGTAATGAACATAAAAATAAACTAATATTCTGAAAAAAGCTCCTGCAATGTTTTGAAGGTGAAATGGTTTCACCTTTCATGGAATGAAATATTAATCATCTCCAAAGGACAGGCAAAACAGAAAGCTTTCTTATCTGTCCTTTCGTTTCATTTCATTTCATTGACCGAACTGTAGCAGAACTGAACAGAGAGCTCTCCTATCGACCCTTCCCTTTATCAGCACTAAGCAGGCATTGGGGAGCTGTGTGTCCCAGCAGCCCATCCTTCCCCTAGATGTGTTACCTGGAAAATGCAAGAGCATCCATTCATGTTCGAATGTGTTTTCTTAATAAAGCTTTAAGCATGGAAATACAATTTTTGTTATTACCCTTATACGGGTGGAAAAAAAAAGGGAAAGTGTATGTTGGAGATCAAAGGAAAAGCTAAATCTATTGATTTCCCTTTTGTAAGTCTCATTTCTGTTTCTCTTAAAGCCTAAACATGCGCAGGCGTTCTCACGCATCCCCGTAAGCACAGAGCTGGCAGGGAGGACATCCATGCACCCAAGCACACACGTTGGCAATGGGTCCTCAGAAAGACGTGACAGGGCTTCCTTGCTCTTGTTTGTGGACAGATCTGAATAAAAAAAATCTGAACATCCCTCCTGGTCTGTGAGGCGTTTTCTCCTTTTGCCTGGAACAAGTGACTAAACTGCAGTTTATAGGATCGGAAAAAGGGAGTACTTTTATCTTACCTGAAACGTCGTGCAGCAAAAGCTTCTGTTGACTGAACTCCCCACAGATTTTATGCCTCATCTGTTCTACTTAAGATGACTATGGAGAATGTTCTAGAAAATGACTTGAAAGGGGATGCCTCCCGAAGTGAGAATTATAATCAGGTGTGTTGTTGAACAAGCGTTACTTTCCTTAACGTGCACAGATTTCTGCACTGGCAGGAAAAAGTGAAGTAATCCCAAACTCAGCATTAAGCCAAATGTAGCCACGTACTCTAAAAACACGGACGCCCGCCCGCCCGCTCCGTTGTGTGCAGCCTTCACAGTGCCTTTCCCCAGCGCTTTCGCAATAGTGTCATCCGATGAAACCACAAAAGCACCTGTCACAGCTGAGCTCCCCGCCTTCTATAAAAACATCCAGAACATTCTGATCCCAGAACTGCCATCCCAGCGCTTAGAACAAGTCAGAGACTGGGCAGATCTCCCCTTTCCAGGCCTCAGTGTCCTCATCCGTAAAACCCTGACCCATTTCCCAGGAAAACTAAGATGTCTTCCAGCAGTATCTTCTCTTCAGTGACAGCACCATAAGGGACTTTGGGTTTATTTCTGTACTCTTGGTAAAGTGCGATAGTTGTGCTTTTTGCTGTGGTAAAACCAAAAGCCTATCAGAAGGAGAGAATCCACCAAACGGAAGGCAAAGGCGCCCGTCATGTTCTGAATTGTTCATGTCCCGCCCCATTATAAAGTCTTTTTTTTTTTTAAAGAGAGATTTTTGCTGTAGGTCGTGTGTGCTCACTGGAGACACAGGGAAAGACAGAGAGAAAGTGAGAAATCATCCTCTCCCCCCACCTCAACCGAGGGGATAGCCACGCCACAGTCCATTTTCCTCCATTCTCCTCTCGGGATTTTGGGCACGCATCGCATGCACCTGGCCTGAGCTTTAAGCTGCACTTGAACTGCGGTGGGCCGTGTGGGAGTCCCAAGCCTTAACCGCTATGCCACCTTCTGGCCCTCAGTGTTTTCGTTTTAATTTCATTTAATTTATAATGGCCATATAATGACTGTGCATACTTACGGGGTATGATATGTCTCCATATATCTATACACCATGCAGTGATCAAATGAGGGTAATTACCCTGTCCATCACCTCAGACAGTTATCGTTTTTTTGCATTTAGGACATTCAAAATTCTCTCTGAGCCATTTTGAAATACACAGTGTGTTCATGTTAGCTATCGTCACCCTACCGTGCTGTGGGACACTACACGTAGGCTGCTATCTAACGCTGACTTCGTGTCTGTTAACCCAGTGTCCCTATCCCTCCTCCCGTTCCCAGCCCCGGGAGCCTAGCTATTCTACTCTCTTATTTCTATGAGATCAACTTTTTTAGATTCCACACGAAAGTGAGATCGTGGCATTTTTCTTTCTGTACTTGGCTGATTTCACTTAGCGTCATGTCCTCTCGCTTCATCCTGCATTGCCTCCAGTGACAGGGTTTCGTTCTTTGTTCTGGTAGGACCGTATTCCATGGCATGCACAAACCACATCTTCTCTCTGCACCTGAAGGTGATTCATGTCTTGGCTAACGGTGTTGCCGTGAGCTCGGAGACGTGGTCGTCTCTCCGTGTACTGACTTCCTTTGGGTGTGTACCCAGTCAGGGCACTGCTGAATCGTATGGTAGTTCTATTTTTAATTTTTCGAGGAATCCCTGTACTGCTTTTCATAATGACTGTACTAATGTGCGTTCCCACCAGCAGTGTGTAAGAGTTCCCCTTTCTTTACACACTCTCCAGCGTTTGTTACTTTTTATTTTTTTCCATGATAGCCATTCCTAGGTCCGAGCGTTGTACAAAGAGTGACCTCAGGGTCACTGTTAATATGGCTAGGAACAGTGGCCAGGTAGCCCTGCCTAGCCAGGTAGACCCAATGAAAACTGGATCCATTGAAAAGTGAGTTTTTGTGTTCGTACCAAAAGATAAAGAGGTTGTTTCTGAAATTTTGAGATTCAAAGTCTCAAAGTTTTAAACAAATGGCCCGATTTATAAAATGTGTCTCAATTCTTCATTAGCCTAGGTTCACTTTATACAAAATAATAATAATTTCTTTTATAAATTGACTTTCTTTTCATGCTTGAGAGAGAGAAAGAATGGATGAATCCCTGGTCTTACTGCAACCATTGTTCCTCAGTTCTCCATCCCATTCAGAATCCTGGGCATGCATGCATACACCTAGCATGTTTTTTAAGCTTCTGGGGCTGGCTCTTGAGCCCTGGTCAGCCCTGTGAAGTCTGGCTTCCTCTGCTCAATGCCTAACTAGTGTGCTAGGGGGCGAGCCCTTTCATAGGTGGCTTTTGAGAGGTCAAGTAGCACATGGTTAACAGCATGGGCTGTGCAACCAGACCGCCTGGGATCATCTTCTGCTGAATTATCTAGCTGGTCTTTGCCTCAATTACCTTATTAGTAAATGAGCATTTTTCTATGCAAAAATGGGTCATGACTTTCCCAATGACCCAAAAGAACCTAATCCATGGCATTGTGAAGATTAATTCATTTATGTTAAGTTCTTCAGTGTAGTGCTTGAGTCATAGTGAGTACTGCATAAACTGGGGGTATTATTAATATGAAGCATTTTATTAAACCATTTTACAAAATAAATCATGAGTTGTCAACTCATTTTCAAAATGTTATCTTTTTCTTTTTTAAAGAATTATTTAATTTCATTTATTGATTATTATTATTTTTAATTTGACCTGAGAGAAGCACACGGGGCCGGGAGGGGGGGGAGTGAGAAAGCAAGCCACCAGGTCAGGGACTTGAACTGTGGTTAGCCAGGCCATATGGGAGTCCAGCACTTCAGTCACAATGCCACTTTCCAGCCCTTTCAAAATATATCTTAAATCTGTCCACTTCTTTTTCTTCTTCTTTCTTTCTTTCTTTTTTTTTTTTTTTTTTTTTTTTTTTGTGGGTTTTTTTGTATGTGCATACACTCACCAGAAAGGCAGAGAGACAGAAATTCATAAATCCCCCCCCTGGGGGGATGGCCACGCCGCAATCCCTTCTCTTTCATTCTCCTCTTGGGATCTTGGGCACGCACGCACACGAGCCCAGCATGA